TTCTGTCTCAAAGACAAGGAACAGGAAGGAAGCCTATGAGGAAAGGGAAGCTTTGCTCTTTGCTGTTGACCTTTTGTGTTGTCTTGGGGAGACACTCCCTAGACTGCACATCCACCGCAAATGACCGTAAATATTTCTGTATCTCAAGCTGGAACCTCAGGAAAACCAGAAGGCACTTGCATAGGCATCCCTTGCAAGTGTTGAAAAGATCTTTCCTGGATTTTGGAAGGGCCACATACAGTCAACCCACGTATAGTTTGTCGAACAGGTTAACAAGGCTTTAAACATACTTACCTTCTGCTCTGGTGTTTAATAAAACAAGTCCTCAGAAGTGATGCCTTTGGTGCCCACCTATCTATTATCTCAGCTAAAGAGAGAATGTGTGAAGATTTATAGCTGAACTTGCAGTTGTAATTGGAGCTTTGTAATTGTAAGGTTTTTAAATGGAGTACCGTTTTTGGTTTTGTTTTGCCTTTCTGCTCTCTACTTCTATTTATACAGTTAATGAAAGTTTAGTATTCACTATACAAATTGTAACAGGGAATGGTTACATTATGACATTGAGGAAGATCCTTAAAATTACTTTCTTCAAGGATAATGTTTTGAATAAAGAGGGTGTAGGGTGGTAGTGGGGAAGGTGTATCAAGATAAGGGTGTTAAATTTGAGCAGGCTTATCCACTTTTAAGCATCTGCTTTTTGGATCTAGACTTACAAAGAGTTACAGTACAAATAGGTAACATTAGCATGGTAATCTCACTTTAAGTTTTTTGAAGCCTTGAAGCATTGTTGCCTTTGATGGAATAGTATTCCTCTTTCTAGGATTACAGTCTTGTCTACATTTTTATATGAATTATGCATTGGAAGTAGTTTCCAAAACCGATGGTCTACTGTAATCCTAAAGGATTTTTTTTTTTTTCTTTTTAGAAGGAGTCTCACTCTGTCACCTGGGCTGGAGTGCAATGGCACCATCTTGGCTCACTGCATCCTCCGCCTCGCAGGTTCAAGTGATTCTCCTGCCTCAGCCTCCCGAGTAGCTGGGATTACAGGTGCCCACCACTATGCCCAGCTAAGTTTTTGTATTTTTAGTAGAGATGGGGTTTCATCATGTCCAGGATGGTCTGAATCTCTTGACCTTGTGATATGCCCACCTCAGCCTTCCAGAGTGCTGGGATTACAGGCGTAAACCACCAGGCCTGGCAGTCCTTTTTTTTTTTTTTTTTTTTTTAATTCTCTAGCCAGATTATTATTTAACTAGTTTTGCTTTTTTTTCTCCCCCAAGAGTGACAGTTAGCTGCACTTGCTCATTGGTTCCCAGACATAAGGATTTTAAAAGACAGTAAAAATAAAAATTTGGATAAACAGAGAGTTCCCAACTTCTTTTAAATATGCCAAGTAATCATGCCAAAACGAAAGCAATCCGGGAGTGGTGATTCACTCCTGTAGTCTCAGCTCTTTGGAAGGCAGAGGTTGGAGGATCCCTTGGGCCTAGGAGCTTGAGACCAGCCTGGGAAACATGGCAAAACCCCATCTATACAAAAAATAGAAAAATTAGCGGGGTGTGGTGGTATGCACCTATAATCCCAGCTACGCGCAGGGACGAAATGAGAAGATTACTTGAACCCAGAAGTTCTAGGCTGCAGTGAGCCATGATTACACTACTGTACTCCAGCCTGGGTGACAGAGTGAGACCCTGTCTCAAAAACAACAACAACAACAACAACAACAACAAAAAAGCACAACTAAATCTTAATATTTTATTATAAAACAAAGGCCAGATTAACACCAGAATAGAAGAAAGGATATACTCTGAGAATTTAAACCTTGGATACATTTAATTTTGTGAAGTCAGCCATTAATTATCTCTTTTCCTGGAAATATCATCATAGCTATGTGAGCCCTGAACTGTGAAGTGCAGTTAGATGTCCCTGGTGTCTGCGATGTCTAATAGTACATCAACTATTGGAGCTCTGAGCATCTTGGGTCCTTCAGGCCAGACCATACTATGAATCACTAAAGGATGTTTTCCCTTAAAAGTTAGCCAGTCTCTGTTATTTGTATGTACACTGAATTTTTTGAGTGATAGGTTACATCTTTTTTTTTTTTTGTATTTTGATGTATTGAAATAACCTCGACAATTATTTTAAAGTTAGCCGAAATAAAATTGAAATTTGTAAAAGTGTTGTAAATTACTTTGTCTCAGCTTTTCCCCTGGAAATCTCTTATTTGCCTTTTGTGCTGTTTTGATAGTTACCTGTTGAATATAAATAAGTAGCTTTATAAAACACTATCAACCGTTGTGGCCAAGAGTATGCTCTTTGGAGACAAATTGCTCAGGTGAATGGATATAAGGCTTTTAAGTGGTTATAACCTATGACTGTTCAGTACTTCTATCTGAGCCTATCACTAACATCCTTAGAAAGAATTCAGTAAATAAGAGGATTAGGGAAAAGGAGGTGCTTGTCATTAACACTTAATGGCCAGGACTATCCAGGATGCAGATATTTAAGTCAAATATTGCATTAAGGTTAGTAAAGAGAAAGCAGTTGGGAAAAGAAGAAAAGGAAAAGAAAACTACCTGGTAATTGAAGCTGGCAAATTGCCGGAAGCATGTAACCGATCTGAAATCTATTTACTTTCACACAGTCATTGGATCTCCTCTCTCAGCATCCTGATATATATATAATTTTTATATTTTTAGCAGAGACAGCATTTTACCATGTTGACGAGGCTAGTCTCAAACTCCTGGCCTCAAGTGATCCACCCGCCTTGGCCTCCCAAAGTGTTGGGATTACAGGCATGACTCACCATGCCTGGCCTGCTTTTATGTATTTCTATACACAAAAACTTAAATTTTTGTATGCAAAAACCTAAATTAAATAAATGGATTAAAAACTGTTGCAAGAAAGCATGTATCAATCCCTTATTTAAGAAAACACAAATAAATATACAGGCATTTAAGTTTGTATGGTATATTTTAAAACTTTTTAAACACAATTCAAAGGAAACTAGAATGTTTCTATTAAATATATTTTCCAAATTTTGGTTGGTCAGCAAATGAGTGCCAAAAACCAAAAGATTTCCAAAATAAACAGTTCTGGAGTAAAATATATTCATGTTAAGGATGCCAGAGACCTAGATATGGAAGTAAAAATATTTCTCTATTCTGAATTTTAACAGAGAGGCCATCAAGTTCATCCTCTCCAGGATGGTAAACCTTGGAACAAGAGTCCCCAGCATAAGTCTGGTGACTATAAAGTCAGTTCCCTCAGGAAGAAAAATAAAAGTACAGAAACCTGATATTATTGAACACAGTGTGTCACTGGCTTCAGCCAATCAGTTCCTCAGAAATCATGTATGACTAAGTAGTATTGGCAGTCTATGAATCCCCTATGCTAACTAAAGCCTTAGTAACCTTATATCCAATAAATATAAATAATTAAGTAGTACAACAAACACTTAGTGAGTATATACTGTGTTTAAGGTGGCAAAGGGCCAGCTCCCAATAACTAGAGTACAAAGCAGGAGATACCACAATTGGACGTAGAGCCTTCAGCCATGTGGCCAAAACCTGTTGCTCCAAATAAAGATAGTGACCAGTTCCATGTCTGCAAAGAATCTGTGCAAATGGCTTATCACACCCTCTAGACTGTAAACTCCTTGAGAGCAGAGCCCCGTGTCTTATTTATCTTTTTTATCTTTTGTTTCTTCTCTCATCCTTTCTCTGAGCAGCTAGCACATGCCTCGTACATTGTGAGTGCCTCGTAGATATTTTATAGTTGAACACAATGAAAGATGTGATATAGACTTTATAAGAGTTGTGCCTAGGTAGATGAGTCTGTGGATAGAGAGTCCTTAGGCTGTGTCTGTCACATCAGTGGTGGTTCTAGTGCTTCTAGTCTGGGCCCTCTGAGACCGCTGATTTCTGCCTTAAGTTGTTACATGATGATAGCCTTGTGTTGTCATGTGGCTTTTAGCGGTAATGGCAGGACAAATGTAGCTCTAAACCCTTACAGCTTTGGCTGCCACTGCCTTGGGCTGACAGGCAGAGGCTGTAGCTGCCTAGAGCTAAATGAGATAAGTAGTGGTTGACCCAGCCAGGAGGTCGCCAGTCTTTGACAGAGTTGACATTTTTAACGTTCACTGCACAACCTGTATAGCAGCATTAGCTGCAGATTCTGTGCAGGTAACTAGTGGAAGAGAATTCCATCTTTGGCAAAGTTGTGCGGTCGGAGGGTTTCATTTCCTATACTGCCAGAGCTATACACCTAGAGCTGGTGTGTGGTCCCAGACTGGATGGGTGGACCCTATACCAACCTGATGTAGTTGACGTTCCTGTGAGTTAGCATGAGAAGTTGTTCCACCTGTGATCATAGCGAGAGAGAGCTGGAGTGAAAGACCTGAGAGAAAGGAGAGATACTGGTGGATTGCCAGTGCACCTTCCTCCACCTGCACCCGGAGTCCGTTGCTCTGTGAATCTGGGACAGCCCTGTGAGTGGCAGGGGCTGCTGGCCTGCTTACTCTTCTTTCTCCTGGTGAGTAAGGGCATCTCTGAGTACTTTCGTTCTCTGGTTCCTAATTGGCTGTTGGGTTAATTCTGCATCTTCCGTTTGTGGCAGTTTTCAACATTTTTTTTTTCTCCACTGCAGGACACATGTCAAATAATGTGCCTAAATTTGTCAGTTCCCCAGGGGTTCTCAGCATTGTGGGCAGTTCTCAGCATGCCGTCCAAAAAGTACACTGGAATGGAAGTCATGTGAAGATGGCAGTCTACAGGGGATAACTCCGAATCTGTTTTTATTTATATTTTTAAATAAGCCATTTGCAGGCTTTATTAAGCATTTATTAAGACCTTCACAGACTTTATTAAGTAAGCTTTTACAGACTTACCTAATGAGCACCTTATTAACAAGTTACTTGTGATACATCTCACAGTGATTGCCAAACATCAGCGGGTCTGAGTCCCTTAGCTGAGCCTTCTTGGTTCAGAGCTCAGAGCAGGAAGGCAGACGGCTCAGTCGCTGGCCAGTTGAGAGCAGGAGGAAACCTAACAGTGCAGGTCTTTCCTTTGGGGAGTAAAAGATGGGAAACAGCTTATACGAAGTTGTTGCTGATAGCAGTGTGCGTGGGGAGGCATTTATGACTCTGGTGATGGATAACCAGGCATCTCTGCTCTTGCAGAAACTGCACTCTTCCAGAAAGGCTTCAGATACTTTTCTCTGCCTTAGAGAAGTTTAGTTTTCCATTCTTGAGCAATTACGCATATGATGAGTTCTGTCTTTCCTTATTCATATTATAAGAGCTTTGTTTTTAACATAGCTTTTTTCTCATAATAAATGTGATGTCCATTCACTGTTGAACACCTTGAAAATATAAGATACTAGAGTTAAAGTACAATTTACTCATTCTTTTAACATTGTGATGCATTTTCCTTTTCCTGTGCTTGGTAGTTTATACCACTGAGTGAATAACTACTTATTTTTTTAGGATTATGAAAACACAACAATTGTATATTGCCTTGAGGCAGTAGCACTATCTAAAAATTTACGGCACTAGGTTCAGCTGAGGTTGAGTCCGAGTCAAAGTTCTGTCTTGTTGACATTTTCTGTTTTGCTTTATCTTTAACATCTTCCTTCACCAAAATTTTTCTCTCCTCACATTATTTTTTGCCTGAGAAAGTGCTTAGTACCAAAAGGGAATAGAGTGTCTACTAAACCAAGTTAGGTACTGCTGGAATATTTGGAATTTTCTTTCCCTAATTAAGGAAGCAACATTAGGAGCATTAACTCTGGAGCCCAAGCTCCCTCAGCCAATCTTGGCACCTGCACTTCCCAGCTGGGTGATTTTGGGCACACTGCTTAACCTCACTGTGCTTTAATTTTCAACTTCATGTAAAATAGATAATGTACTTTGAATATTTACAGCAAATATTCAAAAAGTGTTAGCTGTTTTTCTTAGTGTGTGTTATTATGGTTCATGCAATAATAAGAACCATAAGACAGAAGGATGAAGCTGAAGTAGTGAGACACATAATGATAACAAAAACACTTTTTGATACATTTCTCCAAATTATCTGATGGGGAGGATGTGGTCAAGTGAATCCATGCTGATCCATGTTGAAACCATAAAGCACTGTGTTGTGTTGGCATTAGATCTAGGAGATGCTGTACTTATTCACCCCTCCTTTCTTCTTAATGCTTAGATTGTTATAGTTGACCAGTAAAAGTTTTCTAAATCATGGGTTTTTTTTTTAATTTTTTCATTATTCTTCATAACTTTTGAAAGACTCCTGCTCAATGTCAGGAAAAGAAAAAAAAAGCCCAGACTCTTAAATACTTACTGTTTCAAGGTACTAAATCCCTTTAGGGAAAAAGGATATTAGAGACAAATTCTAATGGGTGTGCCAGGGTATTCTCATGGGTACTAAGGTTGCTATGTTAGGCCACTTTAGAGATGGAAATAAAAAATAACACATACATACACACAAACATAATTTTTATGAGTTGACTTTGCTAATTTTCATTTTAGCCTTACTTTTGGTTTGTTTGTTTTGAGACAGAATCTTGCTGTCACCCAGACTGGAGTGCAGTGGTACGATCTTTGCTCACTGCAACATTTGCCTCCCAGGTTCAAGCAATTCTCATGCCTCAACCTCCCCAGTAGCTGGAATTGCAGGCACACGCCATTATGTCCAGCAAATTTTTGTATTTTTAGTAGAGATGGGGTTTTGCCATGTTGGCCAGGCTGGTCTTGAACTCCCGACCTCAAGTGAACTCATGGCCTCAAGTGATCCTCCTGCCTCCGCCTCCCAAAGTGCTGTGAATTGCAGGTGTGAGCCAGTGCGCCCAGCCCCATTTTAGCCTTACTTTTATCCAATCACCTCCCTATTTGAGGAATAAATTAAGATTGTACTTCTTTTTAATTTTACAAGCAAGTAATTTGATGAGTTTGTGGTTATTCCTTAATCTAAAATTATAACTAAAGGTAATGTGTTATCTATCACCAAAAAGACAAACCTAAAATAGCAAGGTCAAGATCAACCCTGTTAATAAGGCTACTGGTTAAGTAATGAGATTTAACATCACACATATCTTTATAGCTATGCCCTGAAAACATCTCACTAATGAAGCACAGTTAAATTGCTTTGTTTTGAGTCACTTGTAATAATTTATTTTCCTTCCTGCTGCTAAAAAGAGAATGGAACTTTTGACTCAGTAAAAGCTATGTGAAATTTTGTAAGGATTAGAGAACCATTTCTGCATGTGAACTCTCAGTTTCTCTCAATAATTATTGAAATACTGGTCATCAAAATGGCCTGTGGGAGATTTGAATCAAATACAACAAAAACCTTATTCATCTCTACCTATGATTTTTCATATTTGAATACTATTCTTATAAAGTTTTAGATGGTTTATATGGTTAGTCTTGGTGGAAACAACACTTATTTATCACCTAAGTAAATTTGCAGACAGAACATATCAAAAGATTAAACATGATTAGGATGCCTAAACATGACACTAAGAACAATTAGAGAAAATTAATCCAGACTTCTTGGAAAGCTTGCTATCTTTTTATTTGAGACATACGTGTTTCCTTTGAGTTTAAAAATCCTGGGCTGGGGAGGTGGCTCACGCCTTAATGTCGGCACTTTGGGAGGCTGAGGTGGGTGGATCACTTGAGGCCAGGAGTTTGAGACTAGCCTGGCCAACATGGTGAAACCCTATCTCTTCTGAAAAAAAAAAAATAGCTGAATGTGGTGGCAGGCACCTATAATCCAGCTACTCAGGACGTTGAGGCAGGAAAATTGCTTGAACCTGGGGGGTGGAGTTTACAGTGAGCTGAGATCGCACCACTGCACTTCAGCGTGGGCGACAGAGAGCCTCCCTCTCAAAAAGTCGAAAGTTTCAGCATTCTAAGAACATTTATCTAGGTTAAAATCAAGACAATTGTGAAGTTCTGCTGCCCTAAGCCCATGAAAAAAATTTGCCAGACAAGTATCATTTTTGTCTGATTTTATATGTTTTTTTTTTGGAGAGAGAGTTACGCTCTTGTTACCCAAGCTGGAGTGCAATGGCATGATCTCGGCTCACCGCAACCTCCGCCTCCTGGGTTCAGGCAATTCTCCTGCCTCAGCCTCCTGAGTAGCTGGGATTACAGGCACGCGCCACCATGCCCAGCTAATTTTTTGTATTTTTAGTAGAGACGGGGTTTCACCATGTTGACCAGGATGGTCTCGATCTCTTGACCTCGTGATCCACCCGCCTCGGCCTCCCAAAGTGCTGGGATTACAGGCGTGAGCCATCGCGCCCAGCGATTTTATATGTTTTTACAAAAAAAAGAAAAGCCTTTAATCTTCTTTCTCTTCAGGAAAGCAGCATTGGTGCCTGCTCATTTTGGTAGGATTCCACCTACATATTCTTCCTCACTGACATTTTCTACTGTTTTTGTAAAGTTATAACACTGACTTTTCTACTGATTTTTATAAATTTGATTTACTTATATTTTATCCCATGATTGGGTTTAGTATATATTTTAATCTTTGCTTTTTAAAATAAATATCTTTGAGGGCAATAAAGTACAGTTACTTGATGTCAACTTTCAAGAGCCACAGGCAAGATTTATTACAACATCCTTTTAGGCCAGTGAATGATTTTGTAAAAAGTAGAAATTTGGTCTTTTCTGATTATCCTTTGCATTTTTCAGGGGTGTTTTATAGGAATTAGGGAAATGTCTATGGTATGAGTTGCTAAAAGAGAAGGAAAAGAGTTAATGAAACTGATTTCCTCTAAATGTAATAATTAGTTCTTGGATAATATACTTTAAAATTAACCTTTTTGAGGCGTATGGGTGTCTGTGGGTGTGGGTGTTTAGAGACAGGGTCTCATTCTGTCCACCCAGGCGGAGTGCAGTGGCGTGATACTAGCTCACCGTAACTACAAACTCCTGGAATCAAGCTATCCTCCTGCCTGAGACTTCCAAAGTGCTAGGATTACAAGCATGAGTCATTGTGCCTAGCTGAGGTATAAATTCATCTACAATAAAATGCACCCATTTTAAGGGTACCTGTTCTTGGTTTTTACAATTGCGTATACCTGATTAACCACCATCACCATTAAGATATAGAATATATTGGCTGGGCGTGGTGGCTCATGCCTGTAATCCCAGCACTTTGGGAGGCCAAGGTGGGTGGATCATGAGGTCAGGAGTTCAAGACCAGCTTGGCCAACATGGTGAAACCTGGTCTCTACTAAAAATATAAAATTAGCCAGGCGTGGTGGGGCATGCCTGTAATCCCAGCTACTTGGGAGCCTGAAGCAGGAGAATATTTAGAACCCAGGAGGCAGAGGTTGCGGTGAGCTGAGATCGTGCCACTGCACTCCAGCCTGGGCAACAGAGCAAGACTCTTTCTCAACAGAAAAAAAATACAGAACATAGCTATCCTCCAAATCTGGTGATCACAAAAGGGATAGACAGATATCCCTTTTGTAGTCATCAGTAATATATATTTTTTCATATGGTAAGACTTTATCTATTCATGTTACTTCATATGACACTCTTTTTTTCTTTTGTTTTTTGTTTGTTTGTTTGTTTTGTTTTGAGATGGAGTTTTACTCTTGTTGCCCAGGCTGGAATGCAATAGCATGATCTTGGCTCACTGCAGCCTCTGCCTCCCAGATTCAAGCAGTTCTTCTGCCTAAGCCTCCTAAGTAGCTGGAATTCTTTTTGTATTTTTAGTAGAGATGGAGCTTTGCCATGTTGGCCAGGCTGGTCTCGAACTTCTGACCCCAGGCGATCTACCTGCCTCGGTCTCCCAAAGTGCTGGGATTACAGGCATGAGCCACTGCACCCGGCCTTTCACATGACAGTCTTACTCCCTCATCCCACTTCCACTGATCACAACATTTAAAGAGAAGCAAAATTCTTTCATGGCTAGACCCTCTGGTTATGTAATTATAATCATATGGGATAAACAATTATCTTTATGCACTTTGAGTTTCCAGTGTGGTGGGAGAGGGGGCAGACAGATCTGCAGTCTAAAGGACTGAATCAGATGCATCTGAATAAGAAAATTTGGGGCTGGCTGGTAATATCAGCTTGATTCTATTCATTGCATTGTCATTAATCCACAACTAATTGGAGAAATAAAATACGAGTCAAGCATGAGGAAGATTCCAATTAAATGGAAAGTTGTAGATTGGCTGTGTTACACCTCCAACATATGGAAGCTAAGAGGAAAGGGCGGGGGGGGGGGGGGGGGAGAGAGGGGGGGGGGGGGGCGGGGAAGAACGAGAGAGAGAATGAACCACGGGAATTTGGCCAGAGTAGGTATAACAGAAGTACTCTGTGGCTGAGCTGTCTCGGGGTGTCTGTGGATGACATCCAGACTCAGGCCGACTTGCCCTCGGCCCCCACACCAGCATCAGCTGTTCACGAGGGCAGGGCCGGTACAGATGGCTGTGTCCTGCCCCACCCTCTTTCAAGCGGAGCCTCTCTGGCTGCTGGCTCTTCCTGGCTATGCTCATCTCTGTGGTCCATGTCCTCTGTTCCCTCCCTCGCCACTTGCCTGTACACATTTTCTCCTCCACTTTTTTTTAATGGTCTCTCTTGTGACTTACTGCTTCTTCTCCTCAGCCTTTGCAACAAAAGCATGACATTTTATGGATGTTTCAAACCTGTTCTTCAATTTATTACTTTTTTTTCTTTTTTCTTTTTGAGATGGAGTCTCCTTCTGTCATCCAGGCTGGAGTGCAGTGGCACGATCTCAGTTCACGGCAATCTGCGCCTCCCAGGTTCAAGCAGCTCTCTTGCCCCAGCCTCCTGAGTAGCTGGAATTATAGGCATGCACCACCACAGCCATCTAATTTTTCTAGTTTTAGTAGAAATGGGGTTTCACTGTATTGGCCAGGTTGGTCTCAGGTGATCCACCCACCTTGGCTTCCTGAAGCGCTGGGATTACGGGCATGAACCACCATACCTGGCCTATTACCGTATTTTCAATGTACCTGAAATACCATCAGTTATGAGACACATTGGTATGTAGGTGCCACACAAAAGAAAGAAGAACCTTGCCAGTTGAACTATTAAACCTTGATTGTCAAATGTATCCCAATTCTGAAATATTAATTTGTGGAAAATAAACAATATTACCAACCAAACACAGAGCACCCTAGAACACAGACAAACGCTGGGTTTACAGGAGGATATCCCCACTAAAGGGAGAATCAGAGAAGAATTTGAAACTAGAGGTAAGACACATAGTATGCGCTGTAATCTATGTTGTTGCCGGAGGTGGACGTTGTATTTGGTTGGAGGATCCTAGAAGCCTGTGCAAACAGGAAAATACTGTTATACAATTGTATATAAGAAGAAAACAAGCTAGTTCCTCAAAAAGAACATAGCTATTCTACTTACTAAGCCCTGGGTGAAGTATCTTTCTGTCCTCTTACGGTGTGATTTAGAGAACAGTAACTTCAATAACATCTCTCTCATAAATACAGTCACTGGGCCATTTTGTTTAATGTCGAATTTACGGTAGTCAGTTGGTGAAATATTAAAAGTGAAGTTTGACTCTACATGGTCCATCTTAATTTGGGGAGAATATAAAGGGTTTACAATTATGCTTGGTGCTTGTTGGGCCAATTTTGTGGTAGTTTCCGGTCCCTTTCCTGCTGGGACATGATTTATCACATATCTTAATGACGTATTCATTATCCCACATCAGTTGCTACTTACACCTTTGTAATCCCAGTTCCTTTCCAAGTCCCCTTACCAACCCACACTGGTAAGTTCCATCCCCTTGCCAAGTCCAGCTCTCATTAAGCTGCACATCCCAGTTTCCACTTCTGTATTTTCTCCAGTCCAAGATGGTCTTTTAGCCTTTCTGCAAACTCACGTTCATTGGTTCCTTTTGGATGTTTCAGCATGTATCTTCCTTTAAGACTCTTTCTCTGACTCTTGGCTTAACGTTAAGCCCCTGTAACGTTATACAGATAATTTTAACCATATTTTTATGAACTTGTTGATCTGCTGTTTAATAATTTTTTAAGCTGAAAAATGCTACACTCCTTGAAAGGAGGCTTCTCCTACTTTGGATCATGAAAGGTGTCTAGTGCAGTGTTCAGTACTCAATTCATGCTCAAAAACAATGAAAGGATGAATGATACGTTATACTGTGAATTCATTCCTTCATGATGAAGTTAGTAGGAGTTTCTTCCCAGCTCATTTTACTTTTACTTGGCTGTTTCTCCTGCACTACTATATGATAGACACCACAATTCTTTTTTTTTTTTTTTTCAGTGCAAAGAAAGTTTTTATTGAGTTCCTATCATGTGGCAGGTACAAAGCTGAGGAATGGGGGTACCAATATAGGTTTAAACATGGGCCCTAATCTTGGAGACCCTACAAGACACTGCAGGTAACCTATTCATAAAGTGGTCATTTTAATATCATGATGAATATCTTCTACACACTAATATTGCCAATTCCAATGGAAGAGATAGAAAATAATATATTTGCTGCAACGATCTAAAAATAAGCAAGTTTATTCATCTGTGAGGCAAGGGATTGAGGAAAAAATAGTTATGAAGCAACCATGATGGTGAACTCTGATCTGAGAATTTTTGAGACAATGCAAGGTTGTGGATAATAAGCCTAGACACAAATATATGTATAAATATATGTGTGACACCACCATTCTTTACGTTCCTTTATTCTCCTGGGAATATTCCTCTGAGGAATGACATGTAAAAGTCTTTCTCAAACATTTAAAACCCATGTCCCTTTGGATCAACTTACAAATCTCACCTCCTCCTGAGAGGTGATGATCTGGATATATCCCCTGGGTAAAGGAAGGAGCTGCTAGGTACCCCCACCCCAACTGTAATTGATATAAGACAATCCTCTTTGGGTAATAATGTTAAAGGTTATTACTCCAAGATGGTCACTGATTTGTTAGCCAGGATGATCAAATTCATAAATGCATAGTTAACATATAGAAAAAAAATACCTAATTGTCAGAAGAGTTTGCTTAGCAAAAACATCTTAGTTTTAAAGTTTAGCACTGTTATTTTTAGTTATAATTCACTTGTTAAGTTCAGTAACAAACGTTGGTGCCCACAGGCTGGTCCATTAGCATTTCCAGTTAAGGCAAAATCTGAAATTATTTTTCATACTCTCACTTTTTTCTACTCTCAAAGAATGTTAACTTTTTAGTTACTAAAGAGTGATTTTCCCATTGACTCATACCCTTTACTTGTGATTTTACCTTATTGACAGATTTTAACTCCTAAGATTTCTCCATGGGTTGAGGAATCACAGTGCCATTCAAAATGAATGCATGATAAACCTTTTTCTATATTTTAGCCACCTTTTGGGGAGGACATGTTGATTGGTGATAACTCAGAACTTTTTTTTTTTTTTTTGAGATGGAGTTTCATTCTTGTTACTGAGGCTGGAGTGCAATGGTGTAATCTCAGCTCACTTCAACCTCCGCCTCCCAGGTTCAAGTGACTCCCCAGCCTCAGCCTCCTGAGTAGCTAGGATTACAGGCATGTGCCCCTACACCTGGCTACTTTTGTATTTTTAGTAGAGACAGGGTTTCTCCGTGTTGGTCAGTCTGGTCTTGAACTCCTGGCCTCAGTTGATCCGCCAGCCTTGGCCTCTGAAAGTGCTAGGATTATAGGCGTGAGCCACCATGCCCAGCTGAATTGAGAGCTTTTAATTCAATAAGGAAAACTACCATAAGACATCCCTGATTTTCATGTTTGTTTTGAGTTAATGTGGAGGTTTAAGAAATATAATTGAAAATAATCCTGCCTCAAGAGGACTACTCTCTACTTGTTGATACAGAAGGTATGGAGATCATTTTATTTTAGAGTTGTTTACACTGACTGCCTGTTTCTATCCAGTTTATTTTTCTAAGAATACATTCTTTCCTCTGCTGCTTTCCAGCCCTTGACTCTTACGTGTTCCTACAGAGAAACATCTGGTATTCCGAGAATTTTATTTTTGGTGATAACAGAATATTTTATAAAACTCTTTTTTTGCATTGCAGCTCCCAAACATAGTGCATAGTATAAGTAATAAAGGGTAGTTTGCAAATTTGCTTAAAATACATAGCTTTGTATGGGCATGGCTATTTTTTATACAAGCCCTATAACATAGGTGAGACCGTCTCTAGAAGCTCTTATGAAGCTTCAGTCATGATGTTAGTTTTGTTTGTCATTGTATACCTAGCATGGAGTAAACTTTGAGTGATAAGGTGTGTGTAGCTCCTTAAACAGTGACCTGTATGTGGCTTACAGTATTTTTTTTTTTTTTTTTTTTTTTTTTTTTTTTTTAGCGATAAATGACACAGCCTGGGCAAAATAGTGAGACCCCATCTCTACAAAATACAATTAAAAAAAAGCCTGGCACAGTGGCTACTTGAGAGGCTATTTGGGAGCTACTTGGGAGGCTGAGGTGGGAGGATTGCTTGAGCTTGGGAGATAGAGGTGGCAGTGAGACATGATTGCACTACTGCACTCTAGCCTGGGCACAGAGTGAGACCTTGTCTCAAAAACAAAAAGACAAAAATGTTAGCATTGTCAACATGGTTTTATAATTGGATTTTTAGGTATTGAAGAAGATAAGTAGTAGCTGAAAATCAGTTTTGCACTTGGATGAGTAAAACACCTTGACAGTGGATTAGATGGAATAAATGGAATTAAAATATCACATTGTATATTCAGGGTGAAGATGAAGAAATGGAATACAGCTGTCAAATTTGAAATATGAGGATAGTTGATAGAAGAAGTGAACTGCTGTTAGAATACCTATTGTAGTCTTTGTGTCTCAAAATTCAAGTAACAGCTGTACTACATCTATAGAGAATAGTTTTTACTAAATATAGCTTCTAAACGAATGTTATAAGCAATAGACTGTGTATTTGGCTATTTATAGAACTTTTACTTAGCAATTTCAGTTACTCAGAAGTTTGATGTGTCTAACCAGATGTAGACAGCTGTGTGCTGTCCAGAGCACCATATGCAAATATAAGTATTCTTAAAAAGCAGTTGAGAGGAACATTTCTGCTGAGAGGAATGGAGAGTCAGAGAAAATTTTTTGGGGAAGAGCTTTGACAAACACCTTCGATATCTTTTGAGGAATTTAGGTTGATCCGATAATCATCTAGAGATGGTAGATGAAATTAATGCCACCAAAGACAGGTCGCAATTGGTTAGAATAGCTGTGAGTATTCTTTGGTTAAGTCCCTCATTGTGCCTGAGGTGTAACTGTAACTGTGGATGGCAGCTTGGCAGCTTGTAGAGACAGGTGTCTATTATATGAGAAGCTTTTTATTTCTGTGTCAGGTTATCGGACAGAAGCTGCTT